TTTTTTTTAACTTTTATATTTTCATATTTTGAAGGTTACTTTAATAATTTTTTGAAGTTTAAATTTATTTAAAGAAAATTTTAATTTAAACTATTGAAAAAAAATGGTAAATCTGCAATATAAAGAGAGAGAATGTAAAGGAGAGAGAAGATGAATAGAAGAAAAGGAAGTAAATGAGGATTCTTTAGTAATTTTACAGTTCAAATTGATCACATCACCTACCAATGTCATATCAGCACCAAGCCATTTCTTGGTAACGGAGTAATAAGGATGTGGACGGAAAGATGACATTTGATGAGGTCATCGTCAGCAGAAGGGCTGATTTGCGGGTTTTGTCAAGTGGAGGGGCTGATTTGCTCTACTTTTAGGTAGAGGGGCTGATGTGCCACAACAATGGATGTAAAGGGGCTGAATTGCACCTTCTGCCTTTTTTTTTTTGTCAAACACTTCTGTTAAAATTGATAACAAGTTCGTTGCAAATAGGTTTAGAATAATGCCTATAAAAAATGGCCGAATACCTACAAAATTGTTATGCATTGAAGATCGAAGTTTAGGTTTCGTTTATGGAGTGCAAATGAGAGAGAATTCTAGGGTTTACAAAATATCCACAATTTTCCATTAAATTTTAGGATTTGCAAGTTTTTGGTGTGGTTGGTTAGTGAGAATATTACATGGCATAAATTTTAATCTATGTCAGCATTTTTTTAAATTGTATTATCCATGTCATTAAAAAAATGTAAAAAGTGCTATATGGACCAACTTAATGATCATAACTGACGGGATAAAAATTGTGTAATTCTTAATGTAAAGAAATTAAAAAAGCATAAAAAATAGTTAAATGATCATAAAAATACAAATTTATAAAATTGAAGGATCAAAATTAGCATTTAACTTAGATTTAAAGGCATAGATACTGAAGTAAAATATTGTGTCCCTAATCGTAATTCAAATTTCAAATTGAGTTCCTAATGTTTTCACCTCAAAGCCCAAACCTTTGGTACATCTATTTTTCCTATTAAAACTAAATAAAGATTAATATGAAAATGTGCAAAATCCACATGTAGACACGGCCATAGTTGCTATATCATCTTTCTTTTTATTGACAAATCACTACCTTCATTTTAAAAAAAAAAAAAATTATAAATAACTTAATTAAATATTTTGTTATGTTTAGATACATCCTTCACTTAAAAAAAATCATATTAGCATTGTTGTGGTGCTAATGTGGATAAATTACCCCTTTTTTTTCAATATTTTGTTGTCTAATTTGTAATTTTCACATTGAAAATGATTCAATGTATTAATAATTTATAACCAATCGGTATAAAAAAAAGATTTACGAGTAGATTGAAATGCTAATATAAAATCAGGGACCAAGTTCAGAATTTACACATTCACAAACCACAGCTGGGCTCGAAACTTCGATCACAAGTTGGGTCGTCAGTTTGGATTTGGAATCCTGAGCCCGACCCATCTCTATGTGAAGTCCAGTTAAACTTGGGCGGTAACTGCGCCGGACGGAGGAAGGGGAGTCGCATGTCAAGGCAAGTTCTTCCTCTCTTTGATAATCTTCACCGGGGAGTCCTTAGCTGCTTAACATCGGCGAAATCATCTCTCTTGCATGTATGCCAGGCTCATGCCCACATCCTCAAAGTAGGAATCATCTATGACACAGTACTGTCCTCAAGACTGCTCGCTCTCTATTCCAACCACCAATGCTTTGCCGAAGCACAGCTCGTCCTTCACTCAATCCCGGAACCCTCCGTCCTCTCCTTCGCCAACCTCATATACGCACTCACAAGGTCCAATCTTTTGGCGTTATCACTCGATGTATTCTCTCAGATGCTCTCTCATGATATCTGGCCCGAATATCGAATTCTCCCCAATATCATCAACGCTTGCGGCGGGTTGTCGGCGTTAGAAACAGGCAAACAGGTTCACGGAATTGTGTTTAGATCTGGGTTGGATTCAGATTATTTTGTTCAAGGCTCTTTAGTAAACATGTACGTTAAATGTGGCGAGATAAGGGATGCCCGCAAAGTGTTTGATAGATTGCCTCAACGTCATGTTGTTTCTTGTAGCGCTTTGATTTCTGCTTATGCTCGGAAAGGGTGTGCTGATGAGACGATGAGGCTTTTTAATGAAATGAAAGATTTTGGAGTGAAGCCTAATTTGATAACATGGAATGGTGTGCTTTCGGGGTTCAATCAGAGTGGACACTGTCGGGAGGCTGTTGTTATGTTTCAAAAAATGCATTCAGAGGGGTTTCAGCCTGATGATACTACACTCTCCAGCATACTTTCTGCAGTGGGGGACTTGGAGGAGTTAAATATAGGGATTCAGGCACATTGTTGTGTGATCAAACAAGGTCTTGGACAGGAGAGGTACATTCGGTCTGCACTTGTGGATATGTATGGAAAATGTGCTTGTGCATTGGAGTTGTCACAGGCCTTTGATGAACTGGATGAGAAGGATATAGGTGCTTGCAATGCTTTAATAACTGGCCTGTCCCGAAATGGAGCTATTTATCTTGCTTTGAAGGTGTTTGAGCAATTTAGGGTCGAAGGGATGGAATTGAATGTTGTATCTTGGACAGCAATTATTGCTGGTTGCACTCAGAATGGAAAAGATATTCAGGCGCTTGAGCTTTTCAGAGAGATGCAGAGTGCAGGGCTGAAGCCGAACTCTGTAACAATACCTTGCTTGTTACCAGCATGTGGAAACATTGCAGCATTGATGCATGGAAAGGCAGCCCACTGCTTTGTCCTTAGAACAGGAATTGCTGATGATCATCATGTTGGTAGTGCATTAATTGACATGTACGCCAAATGTGGAAGAATACACATGTCTCGACTTTGTTTTGATAAGATGCCAACCAAAAACTTGGTCTGCTGGAATGCGATACTGGGAGGATATGCAATGCATGGAAAGACTAAGGAAGCTAAGGAGATTTTTGATTTGATGCAAAGAGCAGGTCATAAGCCTAATATTATCAGCTTCTGTTGTATATTATCTGCATGCAGCCACAGTGGCTTAGTGGAAGAAGGCTGGTCTTATTTTAATAGCATGACCAAAGAGCATGGAATTGAAGCAAAAATGGAGCACTATGCCTCTATGGTAAACCTTCTTGGTCGTGCTGCAAAGCCAGAAGAGGCATATGCATTGATCAAGCAAATGCCATTTGAACCCAATGCCTGTGTTTGGGGAGCTTTGCTTGGTTCTTGTAGACTTCACAATAATGTTGGTTTAGGTGAGATTGCTGCGAAGAAACTCTTTGAGTTAGAACCAGAAAATCCGGGAAATTATGTTCTTCTGTCCAATATATATGCATCCAAGGCAATGTGGACTGAAGTAGATGCAGTGCGAGATATCATGATTAATAGAGGGTTGAAGAAAAACCCTGGGTGCAGTTGGATTGAGATCAAAAACAAAGTACACATGCTTCTTGCAGGAGACAAATCACATCGAGAAATGCCCCAAATTCTTGAGAAGTTAAATGAGTTGAGCATGGAGATGAAGAAAGTAGGTTATTGCCCAGAGACTGATTTTGTGTTGCAAAATGTGGAGGAGCAGGACAAGGAGCAGATGCTGGGTGAACACAGCGAGAAATTGGCTGTAGCATATGGTCTTCTTAACACTTCTCCTGGCTCTCCACTTCAAGTTATTAAGAACCTCAGAATCTGTCGTGATTGTCATGCTTTTATGAAATCTATATCCAGCCTTGAAGAAAGAGAAATATTTGTCTGGGATACAAATCGGTTTCATCATTTCAAAGATGGAATCTGTTCTTGTGGGGATTTTTGGTAAATGGTTTCTATGGCAAACTCATGGAGACTGATTTATGACATTACCATTTAAAAGCATTTTTTTCTTAATACAACCTTGTAGGTAAATATTCTTTTAGCTCTTGGACATGAAGTTCAGATGATCGAATAACTGAGTTGGGAATATACATTTTTTGAAAATCCTCCTGGGGAGCATTCTGTTCTTCTCTTTTTAGTGTCTTTCTTCTTTTATTTGTGTTCCTTACCCTTCCCACTCTGGTCTTGCATCGCTAGGGAAGATATTGAATTATTGAAACAAATTCATGCCAGTTGAACCCTCTACTCTGCCTCACAAAACTTGGAAAGCCAGGTTGTGGAAATAAATAAATTCACCATAACTGTCTTACTAAGAAGATTTATCATCTCCACTCTGATCCTTCAAAATTTTTGAGTCATCATACTTACCATAAAACCAAACCGTGGAAGGTGAGGATAATGTTAGGCTATATTTGTATGCCATTGATTCATTTAGTGGAGATAAACTGTATGTTCATAACTTCGTCAAGTTTACTTTTTATTTCCTTGATTCTTCTTTGGAAAAGACAAAAGAACTCTTACAAAAACAAACTCTACTTTTATCATCCAAGATTCCTTTCCATACGACTCTACACATACATTCCTTAGAA